ATCCCTGGAGAAGGCACATCAGACCCACTCAGGATCCGGGACTTTTACCACACCCACCTTGAATTCATTTAGGTTTCCAAAGAGTTGGAGGTTGCAGGCATGAATTACCTCCCATGCCTGACTTGGTTTGAAGTTTCTAAGCTGGCACATCAGAGGCAGAAAACTAAGGTGGACATGAGCGTTTGAGTGGCTGGAGAATTCATGTTTTTAATCCACTATTAAGTTATGGTTTCCGGTCTAAGGTGGAGACGAGCAGAGGAACTCTAAAAAGGAGATGCAGGTCCTCTACAAAAAACCAGTAGCCTGAGGGTCCCTCCTATGGGGCAGACAATTCTTGTGACCCTCTGAGATAGAGCAGGAAACTTGGCATGTGACTGACTCCACAAGTAAGCAGGTCTGTGGTTAGAGGTGGGGGAGGGGCTCAGGAGAAACTGCAGGGTCACGGGATGCTGCCTTGCAGATCCTGTTTCAGAATTGGCCATTTGTTTGTTTGTTTGTTTTTGAGGTTTGGGGCTGAAGGATCCTTCTTCTATCAGAAATCTTAATTGCTCATGTTCCTGCAGAGTCCCCTGATAGTTGATGTTTCATAAGATCTAAGAATGGAGCATTAGCTGGAGACAGGAGGGAGGATGTCTCCGGAAATAAGCCAGGAGAGAGATATGAGCTCTTCCCAATACCTCAGTCAGAAAGGGTCAGGAGCATGCATTCAACCTGACTTGCTGCTTCTCAGAAATGCATGCCTCTCTCTCTCTCTCTCTCTCTCTCTCTCTCTCTGTGTGTGTGTGTGTGTGTGTGTGTGTGTGTGTGTGTGTGTGTGTGTGTGTGTGTGTGTGTGTGTGTGCGCGCGCATGTATGGAGATAGAGGACGTTCTCCAGTGTCATTCCTTAGACACTATATACAACTCTCTCTCTCCCCCTCTCTCTTTTAAAGACATGATCTCTGGCCTGGAACTCAACAAGTAGGCTAAGCTGACCTTCTGGAGAGCCCCCAGGGATCCCCATTTCACCTCTGCAGAACCAGGAGTACAAGTTTTGTACTACAGTGTCCTGACTTCAGGCATGTTTTTGAAACTCTCACACTGAATCTCAGCAGTAAACTGTGCATTAGCACTGCCTGTGAGAGGGTTTGGGGCCATTAAATGAGACACTATGTGAAGCGTCTAGTACATGGGAGATGCTCCGTAAATACAATTTCTTTTTCTGATGTGGGTTTCATGGAGGTGTATCCTGCTGCCTCAGGATAATTCAGAAGTCTAGGTGGTGCTTCTGGAGCAAGTTCCCAGAAAACTACTCTTGTTAAAGTGGCAGATACAGAGTCAAAACCCTCCCCCCACGCAACTACCAACTACCTCCAGTACCTCTTTGCTGCCCTCAAAATAGTACCACCAGCTGGGGAACACTTGTTCAAGACAAGAGCCACTTAAACTGTGACACTGTCCTGCTCGGTGCTGGCCTTGTGACCTTTTCTGGGCCGAGGCTTCCTCACCTGTAGAAAGTGGGAGTGCTCATAAGAGTGCACCTCCCTCCGTAGAGATGATATGGGCTGAAATAGTGCTTATGTGGCACTAAGTGGAAGGTGCCTGATGGTACACTCTTATTAACTGCCTGGTTTCACTATTTCCCGGTCCTAAGGAGCCCTGCAGGCAACAGGATCCCTATCCCTATCTGTTGAAAGAAACTTGGACCCTGTAATATTTTCTTTTCTTCCTTCAGGTCTCAGAGTACTTATTTCTAAATCTTAGAAAGGGAGACTCAATTCTTGATTCTTCCTTTGGAGCAAATCTCTCCATATCATTTAGCCCTTGTCTTTAAATCCTTTTTTTCACACTAAAGAAGAAGAAAGAAACCTAGAGTTATGTGCCTGCCCCCAGGGCCACCGTACCCATAGCACTTCTAATTGGGACAGGAGGCCTGTGGCCTGAGGGACAACAGGACCACTTGCATCAGTTTGGATACCAGCTTAAAGCTAGGTTGCTTGCATTACACTTTGGCATTTGGGGGGTACCTGGCAAAAGCAGACCTCTAAAAGAAAGCAAGGCCCAGACTTGGGGCCCCTATCCTCCCTTCCCAGTCTCCCTCATTGTTCCCTCCAACCAACACCGTAAACGTAAACTGAATGTGAACAAGAGTCTAGCTTCTCATTGTGGTTGAGTTTTGTTACTGCCCAAGGACAAAGGCTAGATTGACACAAGATGAATGGCCCAGGGGGCAGGTCTCCTTTTTGTTTTCTTTTCCAATTCTGTTTCTCTCCTGGAGGAGAAGGAATGATAATTAGAACACTTGTTCTACAAATCCCCCTATGTAAATATGTCCTTAGGAGCAAAGATCCAATGTACTAGACAAGGAACTTCTCCAAACTAACCTTAACTCTTATATCAGCAAAGATAACAAGAGAAAGAGATCGGGGTGGGAATGGATTGGAAAAGCCAGAGTGAAGTAGAACCCAGTTTGGCCTCTGGACTCTGTTCAGCTGTTGTTGCTGGGTGGCTGGCTTAGCCCAGACACTGGTAGCCCAGACTCCAGTGCAGAAGCTCTGGAGTAGTGTGACCTCTATTCTTATCTACTTTCAACAATGGATGGACTAGTGCTGTGGTTTAGTTTCTCATTTGTAGAATGGAGATATTAATAGTTCTCACTGCTTCACTCACTGTGAGGGATTGATAATCTGTGGAGAACTGTGTGACAATGGGCCCTCCAAGGCAATGACTGGATCTCATTCATTCTGCCTAGCACAGAGTCTGGCTGCATATTTGGTACAAATTGAATGTTTACTGGATGACTAAATTATTAAGTGACAATAACTTTAATGTAGTGTAATTACTCACATACTATACTATATCAACTTTCCTCTTTTCTGTGGTACCAGGGCTATGAGCTTGGACTGCATGCCTTCTAGACAAGTTCTCAATGACAAGCTATCTTGCCAAATTATGATAACTACCCAGGACTGCAATCCCAATATTTAGGAGGAGGAGGAGAACATAGAAATCAAGACAATGGGCCACGCAGTTTCAGGCCAATCTAGATTATATATCAAGGCCGTGCCTCAAAAAGCAACAAATAAATAACTCAAGTATGATACACAACACTTCTCCTCCCAATTAGCCTCTGTTTGTTGATACTAAGCCCATAAATTTCCCATCCTTTTCCCAAAGAGGAATGGAGAACTTTGGTCTGAGGCAAAGGTCACCGGAGCCACACTCGAGGCAAGAAGCGAGGAGGAATGCAAAGGGATGAAGGGATCGCTGTGAAGTGGCCTACCCTGTTTTCCAGTAGCTTACACAGCAAGCTCCGAACTTTTGGAGGACTAAGGCCTGAGACAATTAAGCAAAGGGAAGTAGGAAACTCTTAGAGAAAGTCAACCAAGAGGAGGCTGCCCTGGGAGGATGATGGCCAGGGAGGATCTGGGAATTAATGTGGGCTCTGCAAGTAGCTGGATCCAAAGTCTCCAGGGACGTCTAAACAGGCTGGGAGCACTAATAGAATAGGGCAGAATTCCCAATCACCGAGTAAAACTGGTGCTAAGGGAAGCACAGTGCTCAAACAGGAAATTAAATATCAAGGAACTGCTCGTTAAAAGTTCAAAGCATCTTCCCACACATTAATTGGTGCCCTCCCCAAGTCTCTGGCAAAACCGATAACTCATCCCGTTGGGCCTAGGACCAGGTTTCAGCCCAGCATTCAAACTGGTCAAGGACTGTGATCAATCAACACACCAAGAGCCAGCTCTGATACACAAGCAGAGGCGGAAAGACTGCGGACCCCAGAAATCCACACCGTGTCCCCCACTGTGGGGAACCCAGCACTCGGCACCCGAGTCAGGAGTCAGGTTTAACAGCCATTGCTGAGGCTCTTCTAACTTTAACATGCCCTTTCCAGGCTGGCAGAGAACAGAACTCCCTCACAGGCGCCTAGCATCCTCGGGAAGAGAAGAGAACCGCCAATGTCGGCCTCAGGAGGAGACAAGGAGGTGGAGGGTTGTTTATTTATTTCTTGGAACACCCTGTTAAGAAATCTCAGCGGTTGCAGTCAGTGCCCGATCCTTTGGCAAGTAACACTAATTCTCCCAGCTCCCAGCTGCACTGGATCTAATTCGCAAACACACCATCTTGCATTCAACACTTAAATGGAAAACAAGCAGCTCGGAAGGGAAGCAAACTCTGTCCGCACGTTTCAGAGGGATTTGTGCTTCCAAGGCCCTCTACTGGCAGTCCGTGCGGTCCGAGAACCGGATTTCTGGTTGAAGCCTCTAACTTGAGAACCCAGAGTCAATTAGCACAAGCAGATGCGATCAAGTCCAGCCTTAGGCTTTGTCAACACGAAACATCAACTAAAATCTGGAAGAGCTCAGGTTTTAAAGGGAAGATAACCGCTTAGTCTTTCCACTGGAGACCTGGTTAAAAGAAATTAAGGCCTCTCCTCTATATGGTAGCTAAGATTAGAGAGCTCGGTTTCCGTTTTCTGTGTTTCTATGGGCCGAACGCCCAGGCGGGTCAGTGAGTTTCTGTGTGTGGAATGACGAATTCCTCTCGCCTGAGTTCTAAAATGATAACTTAGCTCGCTGCTGCAGCTGCGAACGCCTGGCGCCAAGTGGCCCCGCGCGGGGGTGGCGGGAGGAACAGCGCAGGCAGAGGCCAGGGGGAACTTCGCGAGTGGCCCCTTTAAGAGCTTCACTGACTCAGCTCAGCTCCCCCTCAGGTCGCGTTTTTTATGAATGAAAAACGTCCTCACATTCATTATATAAACAAGCCGGTGCTGATTGGTCAATGGCGCTTAGAGCATAAATTATGTAAAACAGACCTCTGAGGGCGTTGAGAGAGGCCGACCGTTAGCCAATGGGCGCCACAGTTGGTGGGGCGGCCCAGCTGGATTTGTCTGAAGACAGGGTAAACAAGAGGTGATGGGCAGCCGGGGGGAAGACCGGAGACCAATGAGGATGCGCCTGCTCTGGGCTGAGGGCCAATGGCAGCGGGCGGAGCCAGCGGGGGCCGGGCCAGTGCTGCAGCGGGTTGCAGGGCGGCGCAGAGTCCGGAGGCCGGCGCGCGGAGCGGTCCGTATCCCCGATCTCTGCGGCCCAGCCCGCCACCGAGGCGCGCAGGCGGGCGCGCGGAGTGGCCGCTCAGGTGCGGGCTGGTTCTGAGTCTTCAGTCGGACGTTCCTGGGGTGACTCCCGGAGCTAGCTACCCCCTCCCCCCGAGGCCCGGTTCGGTTCGGTCCCTGGGAGGCATCGGGCGGGGGTGGCTAGCGGTTCCGGAGCGAGCGGAGAGCGGGTTTCCGTACGTCGCGGAGGAGGCACCCGGGATGCTGGAGCGGGTGCAGGGAGCGGGGTGCGGGGCGCAGGCTGCGGGAGCGGGATGCAAGAACGGGGTGCGGGGCGCGGAGTTGTGGGCCCCCGAGGGCCCTTGGAGGCTCGCGAGAAGAAACGCTCCGCGACTCTTAGGTGGGAGGGGGGCGGGCATCAGTTTCAGGGGTGCTGTTCCAGAACCCCGAGAGTTAAATGACATCGACATGTGCAACCTGCGGGTGCAGGATCTGCCCGAACTTCTGCGGGCCGGGCAAGTTGCAGGCTGGGCAGCGTGCCTCCAGCCCCCACTCTGTCCTTTGAGGTCTAAGGGTGCCGGGGTCCGCCTGAGCTGCGGCCTGGAGGGGAGAGAACCAGTGCCGAGCCGGCCGAGAATGATGCTGGGGCCTCGTGCAGGATTCGGGGTCTGGCTTGCATGGGGTGGTGGTGGTGAGTAGGGGGCGATGAAGGAAGGCGTGTGGGGTCGGGAGTAAATTAGAGGCTGCTGGAATTGCCCAGCGCCGCATTTCATTTTCTGAATGTGGGTGACTTTATGAATGAAGCAGGTTTCTTTCGTGGTCTCGGAGCTCCCTGAGGCTTTTTTTCTTTCCTCCGGGTTTTTGTGAATGAACCATTGAGTTTTTTTTTTTTTTTTTTTTTTCCCTAAAACGCTGGGGTGAGGGGCCTGCGTCGGAGGCTAGGCGTGCGTTGGGAGTGGGGGCGGGGGCGCAGCTGAAGGAGTTTTCATGAATGGGAAGGCTGGGAATTGGGTGGAAGTGTGTCTTGTTTTGTGAATGGGGCCCGGCGCGAGGGATCCAGTTACAGCCTCTACCTGCGGCGGCGGCCGCGGCTCGTTCTCCCATTCATAAAATCAGGCCCGCTGCGCGCCACGGGGAGGGGCCTCGATCCGGTCGCTGCTCCGAGTTAAAGTTTTCCTGGGGGCACCCAGATTTTTTTTGGGGGGGGGAGAGCGACGACGACGACACAAAGGAAGTGGTTTAAAACTCCAGGATGAATTGGAGCCTTCCCTACAGGCTTTTAAAAGATACTTTGAACACAGTGTTTCCAGCTCTTGAACTCTGAGGGCTGCTTAGAAGATCCTCCTTGCTGCTTTTGGATTCTCTTAGAGCAGTTTCTTTTAGCAGTTTTTTCAAAAGATATTTTTGTGCATCATGAGATTCTAAAAATATTTTACCCTCCGGTTTTCTACACGCTCTCCTCTTACCCACAACAGACATTTAGGAATTTCTGAAGCCACAATTTAATCAGACAGATTTTTAAATACAACACAGAATTGTTTCATACTTCTAGACTAAGGTTTTTCAGATTTGGGTACTGGTTGGTGATATTCGGGAGAGAGGAAGACAGAGAGGCCTCGCTCTGGTCGATGTGCACTGTGTGGAAGGCAAAGCTGGCAGGGTTTTTTTTTTTTTTTTAGGAAGTTGTGAACTCTCTTCCTTTGACTTTGAAAATATCTGATTACTTGGGCCAAGAGCTGGCTGCGAAGGGTTTTCTTGTATCCTGCTCGCTTATGAAAATTTGATATGGTGTTCACAGCATGAAAAACAAGTCAGATGGAAAGAGCTACTGTGAAAAAAGTTCCCTGGTTTGTGTACAAGTTAAAAGGAATTGCCATTTAGGCCTTTCTATTATTTAGAACTGGGGTAAATAAATTATCACCACCCCCCTCCAGTTTTGACCTGAGTTTTTTGTTGGAAAATAGTGTTTAGGAAGGCAACACCTTGTAAACGTGCTGATTAGCCCCTTCCACATTAGAAATGTGTCTTCCTTCTTTTGTTGTCCTCTGCCAAGCCCAGGTCTTACCAGTGTTAGACTGTTTTTGTTGGGAAATTTAACTTCACTATTCAGAAAAGTGCATTTTCTTTCTGTGGATCTTTTTGCTTTGGAAGGCCTTTTTTTTGGGGGGGGTGTTTTGGTAGAATGCTTAAATAAGTGAAGTAGAATTGAATTTCATTTATCTTTTACTTTGGTAGATGTTTTATTCCTTTGGAAGTTGAATAGATAATCTTTGTGTGTTGCCATGGAGATATTTATGTCATTTCAGGTATACACACCTGTTTGGACAGAAGGCTTATGTTTTAAATAAAGAATTGTGTGTGAAGAAAGTATACTTTTGATCAACTTGTTCCTGGAATTGTACCTAGTGTTCTAACCATAGACCTATAAATAGACCTACAGAATACTTTGAGAAACACATATATCTTAGTTTCTTAACTGCCAATAATTTGGAACACTTACATCCAGTTCTCTTCTTGTTTCTGTACTATCAAAAACTTAATTATCTTAAAAAAGCAAAACAAAACCTGTAACAGATATGTCCTGGAAGGTCATTTTACAATGAAAATAACTTGAGGGGTTTTATTGGTTGGTTGATTTTTTTGGTTTATGTGGTAGACAGGCAGGCAATAATATATTAATTTTTTAGTTACTATTGGGAACTGAACCTAGGGCTTTGTGCATGCTGCTGGTTAAGTATTCTACCAGTGGACAACATCCCCATAATGATCAAGTAAATGGATTTGGCCCTGAATGCCTAGTAAGCTTTGAAAACTTATCCTGAAAGTTTCCACCTTGAGTAGGCTTTAAGGTTCTGTGGGGGTGGGGGATGACACAGGCATGAAGAGAAGAATAGGCTCTACCCCCTCCTCACTTTAAATCTCTTAATTTCATGTTACAGGAGGATCTCTATACACCCCCAGAAACTACTCAATGCTGAAGCCTTTCCACGTGGTATCAGACACTTTGGAAGCACCATGGATGGGTTTTGTGATCAGCAAGTCCCTTTTATGGTCCCAGGGGTGAGTTGGTACCTGTGTTTTGTCCTGGAGAAGTGGGTGGACCCCCTCCTTCCTGGAGAAGTGGACCTCTTTTCCTGCATTTGAACCTTCATTTGTTGGCCCCTTTCAGAAATCTCGGTCAGAGGAATGCCGAGGTCGGCCTGTGATTGACAGAAAGAGGAAGTTTTTGGACACGGATCTGGCTCACGATTCTGAAGGTAGTGGTTCTTTGCCTGCTTGCCATGGCTTCCTAGGATCACCAGTATGCAGCCTGCTGAGCATCCTTCTCTTTAGCACAAGAAGTATCCTCATGCTGAGTTTTTTTGTTTTGTTTTGTTTTTTAATTGCAGAGTTGTTTCAGGATCTTAGTCAACTTCAAGAGGCGTGGTTAGCTGAAGGCAAGTTTCTTAACTGTGCTGTTCTCCCTGTAAAGCATTCTCTTGTGCCTTTCAGTAAAACCCAAAGATCTAAAACAGGAATCTCTTTTCCAGCTCAAGTTCCTGATGATGAACAATTTGTCCCAGATTTCCAGTCTGATAACTGTAAGTACCTTTCTGTTGCTGACACATTTGTTCTGAAATTGTTTGGTCTTTTTAGTGATAGCCAGAGGATTTTGGACATTGGTATGCATGTGTTTTAATAATTTCTGGCTCTGTTGAAGCAAGGTTTACTCAACAATTTCAATAAAACGTTTTACCTTAAAAGCTTGAACTCCAGAATTTTAAGTTAGTTTATCATCTGTGATCTAGTATCAGTCGTCTTCTTTTTTATTTTTATTTGCTTTATCTGGGTTGGGGGGAAGGTGTGTGTGTGTAACATGTGTTGTATTTGCAGAGACCAGAGGAGAGTGTCCAATTCTCAGGAACTAGAGTTCCAGGTGGTCATGAGTGGCCTTTTGTGGGTGCAGGGAACCAAACTCAGGTCCTCTAAAAGAGTAGCAAATGCTCTCAACCACTGAGCCATCTCTGCAGCCCCAAGTCCTTTTGTGGGTTTACTTTATCAATGTAGTCTTTTTAGTCCTTTTGTGGGTTTACTTTATCAATGTAGTCTTTGGGATGGGGATGTAGCTCAGTGTACTTGCCTTGCATGTACAGGGTTCCAAGTTCAGTTGCTAACATTGCAAAAAAGTTATCCTTAAGGCAAATCCTTAAGTGATGAGTCTGATCTTTTTCTTCCTTTGAAAGGTAATGCATATACTTAATGGAAAATTCCTGTTGATTGTGGTTCAACCCATCGTGTCCTTTTTGTTTTTCCTGAGCAATTGAAGGGTGGTCACAGAAAGAGTTGATGCGTTCTTAATTTGTCATGTGGGTGTTATGACATCACTATTGAGTAAAGCCTTTTTCTTAATTGTTCCTTAAAATGCTAAATGCAGAGAGAAGTTCCACCATGGCTGCTGGTGCTGGCAGGGCGTAGTTAGCTTTGCCCTGTCCTCAACACATTTGGGGGCTTTATGGTCTAGGCTGAGCCTCCAAGGACAAAGCTGGCTGATGAAATTGGAGCAGCACAGGGCTGCTCTCAGAGCATTAGTCACTGGCGAACGAGCAGGTTTAAGAGCGGGCTGGAGAACACCGCCTCTCTTGAGAGTTGCATCATAGAGAAATTCATGTCTCTTAGTCATAGTTTATAATAGCAAGCACCTGAGCCAGCCTGGGGTTTGATTTCTCATTTTGCACCAACAGATTCTTCTCAGCTTTATTTTATCTCTGGGGTGTATGTGTGCATGTGTGTGTAAAAATGCCACCGGGAGAGAGAGAGTATCTGGGTCTCTAAAAGAGCAGAGTGTTCTAAATCTATTAGATAAAAGAACAGAGGTACCAGCTAAGCATTCTGTAATGATAGGCCTCGTGTTCAAGGCAGAATGCCATGAAACTTGAAAAGGGAATAGGCTGCAGCCCACAGATGAATGGCTACCTTAGCTTTGTCACAGCTTGCCATGGAGAGTCTCTATACAAAAGGAAATGCTTATTATTGCCCTTTGATTGCTTTCAAGTGATTGGGAGCTTGCCATTGAAAGGCTAAATAGAGATAACCCGTGGGGGCGGTGGGGGGAGGGTGTTTCCAAGATGAGAGACAGAATCTCCTCAAACTTATTTCTTGACAGTTTGGCCCTGCCTTTCCAGTTCTTTCCCAGAGCAGGGTGAGCTGCAGTCTGCCTGGGAGGTAGCTTTCATGGCAGAGGTTCTTTAAGATGCTTTTATTATGGTTTCTCTGTAACCCAAAAGAGTTAAAAGGGAGATGAGACAGCTGAACTGGGATTAATTGCACACATTGCCTGTTTGGGGAGGGGGTTGTCAGCAAGCAGGGTTTCTGTCTGCAGAGATTTTTATCTGTAGGAGTAGGCTCCAGCAAAGAAATCAATAAATGTGTCTTGGTGCTCTAGAAATAAGTTCTGCTTGGCAGATAGAAATGTGCTAGCTTCTTAATTAAAATAGCCCAATGGAAGTGCAGGTGCTTTCGGGGCTGTGGGGCTGTTCTTGCCCACCAAATATGATGGGGATGGGGGGGTGGCGTTGATTAGTTTTGTCTGTTTGTTTTTTGTCACGGCTGCTTAAGATTGAGCTTGTCTTTATTTTAAGGATGAAATAGGCGGTCCAGTAGCCTAAAAAAGCCGTGGGACATTAAGAATGCTGTGACTCTTCCTGAGGTAGAGCTTGGAGAAGGGTGGAGTCTAATAGACTAACCTTCCCTGAGTGTTGAGGCAAGAGCCCCAGTGTGGCTTGGGGAACCTGGAACCCTTCATTCATGTTGCTGTGTATGACTACAGTTCAGGTTCAGACTGGCAAAGGGGGTGGGGACTGGTTGAGCCCATCTGCCCTTGGACTGCATACCTTGCTTCCCCATGAGTACTTTCCATAGCCTTGTGTAAAAGACCAATTCACCCACCTGTCTTGGAAAAGTCACACAGAAAATGTGTTTGTTGTTGTTTCTTGTTTTAAAAACAATATAGGCTCAATTTCTAAAAGATTATGTGTTTCATATTTGGGTACCTTGTCTGTAAATCTGATATAAAGAAAAGAACCCATTGTAAGTTTAACAGAAATGCCCAGCTTACTTATAGTGATGCAGATTTTGTCTCTGTCTTGCGCACACATAAGAGGGTCATGGCTTTCCTCCGGTGATTAGAAGATATAGAATTGGTTCTCTCTTTTCACTCTGTGTGTGCGTCATCAGGCTTGGTGACAAGCACCTTTATCCTCTGAGCCATCTTGCTAGCTCCTTGTTGGAAATTTTAAAAATTAAAATAAAGAGAACAGAAGGTGCATCCTCTGGAGCAGTGTTCTCAACCTTCCTAACACTGTAACTCTTTAATACAGCTCCTCATGTGTGGGACCCCAACCATAAGATTATTTTCATTGCTATTTCATGACTATAGTTTTGGTACTGTTATGAATCATAATGTAAATATCTGGTATGCAGGACATCTGATTTGCAACCCCCCGGGGTTGAGATCCACAGGTTAAGAACTACTCTAGTGCCTAGGAGCTCTGCTGGTGTGCCCCCACCCCCAGTAATCCCTTGGTGTTGAGAAGTGACTCCAAGATCCAAGATTGTTTGAGCTGGAAATCCCTTGTAGAGATAGTCTGAGAAAACCAACATGTAGTTTGGGTGTAAATAGGAAGAATTTGGTGAAATAAGCAGTTTTTAATGCGTAAGGAAAGCTGCCATCCTGTTACCAGCCCACTCGGGTGGATCAGGACTTGTTTAAGGTCCAGGAGGTGACTTACAGGAAAGTGAGAGAGGTGACTGGCAATCCTGTCCACACCTTAGAAAAGGCTGAGGAACAGATTAGGGCATAGAGAGCTCCCATTTAGGACTTGGAAGACATGTAAAACAGAAACATTGTAAAAACTGACACAGACCCTTAAAGATGCATTGCTATAGAGAAAGTTAAAACTACATGTGGTGTGTGTGTTAATAAGTGAGAATGTCACAGACCACATATTGCAACAAACCATGGGCTCTAGGGTCTCTGTAGGTCTCTCCATCCTTTCCTACATCCATAAAGTTAAGCCAAAGCCACAGGTATGATTGGACCTGGAGGACTTGGGGACTGTGACCTGGGGATAAGAAGCTACTAAATTAGTTTCTCTAATCTGACTTCCTGGGTACCGATGAGTGTTTCTAAATGCAGGTTTCAATTCTGCTCTTTTTAAACTTGTGTCAGTGGTGACATTGTGAATGCATCCAGCATCTTGAGTAACTGGACTAGTTTATGCTGAGAGGGAATGACATATCTCACTATAGTGCTGTTCCATGTACAGTTTACAAAACTGTCTTAGAATCTGAATGGCCCCATTTCCCCCTTGAGTTAAATCTGTGTTTAAAAAGGGGGGGTGTGTGTGACTTCAGGAAGTATGAGTAATTTCACAAGGACCAGCTAATTAACTGTTAAAATCAGCTTTTGTAAGGTCAGTGCAGTAGGTGGCTAAGACACAGGGTTAATGGTTGTTTAGCCCTGGAGCCGCCAACAGCCAGATACATTGGTGACACTGGAACCCTTCTGAGGACAACATAGTTCTAGCCATGGGTTGTGGGGAGGGGCCGCGGTAGCAGCCCTTACTCTGCAGAATGAGACCACTTGTAGTAAAAGGGTACTGGCTTTGCGGTTGTTGGGGGATAAGCATGAAAATGTAGGTAACTTAGGAAGAGGTTGATTGGCTGAGTCAAGACGGGCATGTGTGTGTGTGTGTGTGCGTGCACGTTTTTCAGGGGTTGCTAGAACTGACAGAAGGGAAAGAGAAGAAAGGTGTGAGGAGAAACATGGAGTGGAGATAATTTGGTATCAGACTTTGTAAGTGGCTTTGAGAGGCCTTGGTAGCCAGTCCTCTACCTTGTGGCAGAAGGGCCCTCAGTGATTTAGTGGTTGCTCCTGATTCCATAGTGCTGACATCCTGAGAACTGCTAGTGACCCAATACTATTGCTCTACACAAGCGCCATAGGGTCATTAGGCCTATTAAAAAATGGTGGTGGTTCTCTAATTCTCCAGTAAAGCCTGGAAGCCTCTTCAGTCCAGCATTTAGTGAAGAAGCCTTGAGAAGGGGAATTAATCTGTCTGCCAGGCAGATCACTCATAGGTGCCAGATGTAACAAAATCCTGGCATGGGTCAAGAACTCACCATTAGGTCCCTGTTCTCCAGCATCCTTTGGTTTTATGAGATGAAGGTACCGGAACAGGAAAGCCGAGAGTCCATGCTCTCTGCTGTCCCTTCTAGTTTTGTAGTATCATGATTGTGTTACCAGCCCCAGAAAAGAATATTCCTAGGGGTGAGGTAGGTTTGGGTGTGTGAGAGACAGTCAGCTGCTGCTCTGGAGTTTGACGGTGAGAAAGCAGCCTCACTGACTTCCCCATCTTAGGCATACTCTGCCCTTGAGCAGCTTGGGCCCCATCTGTGCCCTGGCACTCATTGCTTCTCCATTTGGAATCCAGGGAGCTTGGAGTCTCGTCATGTTGCGGCTCCCAGCTTTTGGATGGGTGCCAGGTGTGCTGATGCCATTACCGTATTAGGTTGGTTTTTAAAAAATTCATTTTGTGAACTC